AACAATCATAACACGACGTCATATTCTCACACTCCTTGCTGCGTAGATAACAGCTAACATGTGTCATCTGCCGTCATTTAAACAAGCACGCACGCGAATACGCGTCTGCTCATACACATATATATACCATCCACCCCACTCTCCTTCTCCAAAGGTTTAATACACAATCCACGGCTGTCACTCTACTATACATTACGTACATACGACACGAAACAGGTCACTATCAAACAAACTCAGCTCTAACACTCGACAACAACAACATGGTTTATCGACCACTGACTACTTAGGTAGCGTTTTACACATATCGCTTTACAAACAACCTCTCCTCCAAGGCATAACTACGACGACGTTGTTAAATGTATACGAACAACCCTCGCTGTCACTATATATTACACGCATATGACTGACTGTCCACGAAAAAGTCCTCTGACGGTACAAAAAATCGAACACGCGTCTATCAGACATATACGCCCGTACCCAAAGCGCAAACACAAAAAACAACCCTTTGTTTCTACTCCATACGACACGACAGTTCTTTAAAGCCCACGAACAAGTCTTCTATTACCAACGCGGTTATCCGTCATCACACGATTACCTGTATATATACTCAGACTTTTGTACGTGTATCGATTAACAACAACATTTCGTCCTCCAAAGCACAAATGCAACAAACACTTCTTTACGGCACATACGACTGTTCGCTACAATCACAGACTCAGCCTTCTAACGAGACGGTTCGGTTTATCGATCACTGACTGATAAAAGCGTTCAGACACACGTATATACCCAGGCACTTTTCGCTATTGTGCCTCGATTCACAACATTTACCCAAAGCGTATACAACAAACACTTATTTTCTGCCGTTCCGTATTACGTACACACAACAATTTGCTATAACTCACGAGCAAGTCTAACGATACGGGTTTATCGATCACCAACTGATGAAAGGGGTTCAGGTTCAACGCGTACCTTCTCATACATATGCGCCCCACGCTTCTCTCTGTCGCCGCTCTACATTACACAGATTGTTACAACGGACTCTTAGTAAAAGAGTGCAAACTTTCACTCTTCTAGATTAACATTAATTGATTATGTAAGTAGATGAAAATAGTATTTATTAACTATTGCTCTTCAATTGGTTTACTAGGTGGCTGCTCTCCTTTGTCTCTTCCGGTGGACGGGCGCGGATCTGGATCGGGTAGCGGGTAGTTACCGGTGACGCCTCTCTGCTCACCCCTTTACCAGTGCTCGCCTGCGGTGAAGAGATCCCGGCACGGGTCTGTTGAGTGGGTCACGGGGGATGCCCGGAACACTCTCAGACATCTCCTTTTTTTTCTTTTCTTTCTTTTTATATACAGCTTTTAGATGACGGGGAGAAGGTTTTGAGTAAGTATTGGGTAAGTGTCGCATTGTTTCACGTTATAAACTAACTCTATCTTTCCTTTTTCTTTCTTTCCCCTTTTTACTTTCCCTGATGGGTATGCTGGGAGATCGGATCCAATGAGACTCTGGTGGAGCTGTGGATCGAGTTTGAGGGACCGATTCGGTGGTTACTTAGCTGCTTGTGAAGGATCTGTCCCTGAAGCTGGTTAGAGATGAATGGTGAGTTTGCTGCTTGGCATGC